CGAGTGGTTGGTGGTGGTGGTGGTGGGCAGGTGTGGCGGATGACGAGTGTAGTGGGTGGTGATGGCGGGTAGGTGGGTAACGGTGGCGGATGGTGGGTGTAGCGAATGGGTGGCGGGTAGGTGCAAGTGGTGGTAGGTGGGTGGTGGTGGGTGACGGTGGCGTGGCAGGTGGAATGGTGGTGATGGTGGTGGTGGTGGTGGTGGTGGTGGCGGTAGGTGGTGGGTTGGGTGGTAAGTGATAGGTGGCTGGTGGTGAAATGGTGGTGTGGTGGGTTGGATGAGTGTGGTGGCAAGTAGCGTGTGAGATGGTGGTGGCGGGCAAGTGGAATGGTAGTGAGGTTGGCGGGTGGATTAGCAGGTGGGTAGTGGTGGTGTGGTGCAAGGGGTAGGTGGTGGTGGCAGATGTGTGGTGGTGGGATGGTGTGGTGTGTGGTGGGTTGTGGGTGGTGGTGGCGGGTGGTGGTTATTTTTTGGAGTGGTGGTGGCAGGTGGTAAAGTGGGAGGGTGGGTGGGTGGTGGTAGTGGTGGTGGTGGAAAAATGATTGACGGGTTGTGGCTAATGTTTTGGGGTGGTAAAAAAAAAAAGCTCAAAAACTCAGAACAGAAACACATTTTTGGCTGTTTTCATTTTTTTTTGTTTTTTGGCCAAATTATAAAACTGAGAACCACTGATTTATAATAAAAAATTTTACGCAACAAGTTTTATTTTAGTTATTTTAAAATTTTTAAAATATAAACAGAAAACTAAAACGTAAGTGTACCAACAGGCACCTTAACATTTCATTTTTTGTTTTATCGTTGAAACTACTAATTATTTACTTTATATTAAATTATATAATTTTTTTCGTACAAGGTGCGCCTCACTTTCAGTAAAATCTGCTCCTCGCCTTACGCCTTGAGCCTAACACCCATAAAGCCTTAGTGACGCCTATCTCGCTTTAATAAAATTGTTCAAGCTGTTAAAATAGCTAAAAAATTAAAAAAAATATAATGCCATCCCTCCTTAACGAGGCCATTATATTATAGGGTGGAGATTTTGTGTTTTGATATATATCACTGTCCGACCCTTAATTTAGTCGTGTATGTTTTTGGAATTTTTAGTTGGATCCAATTTTTAAAAATAAAAAAGAGCTGCACAAACTCAAAAGTTATCAAAGCCAGATGCCTCAATTCATAGTAAAGTGTTATACTGCTAATGTATATAAGACTATGACGA